GCCTTCCACCCTTCCCTGAACCCCCCTCTGCGCGTGGCCGACAACCAATGACGTAAACATGAAAGCTCGGAGGATGGCTAGGTTACAGTCGGGGCGTTGACCTAAGGAACCCTAAATAAGGAACGAGGCCCCCTTGTCCCCTAAGTGAAACTCCGATTTCCCATCGAAACCCTAAGCAAAACCAAAGGCGAACTGCAAAACAACTAAGGAACACCGAACCCCTCCCCAACGAAAAGGGTTCCTTCCTCAGCGCCCCGACTGTATGAGTGGTCCTCCTCCGTGCGGGCGGCTCGCGAGCGCCCGGGGCCTCCCCCCCGCAGAGCCCCCGAGAGGAAGGCGCCCGGGGTGACGGATCGGGGATCTACTGACCCAGGTGAATCCAAGCCCGGGTCAGTCGGGCCTTGCAGGATCCTGCAGGATCCTGCAGGATCATGCAGAGCCCTGCGCCAAGGCCAAGCTCAATGCACCCCTGGCCCTTCAAGATCCTCCAAGATCTGGCGCTCCGACTGATATCCATTTGCATTGACCCCCGTCTCTTGAGCCCCGAACGGACCGCCCCGTGATCTCTCCGGTATGAGAGAGACCTCCTAGATGGGGTCCGAGGAGATGGGTTTGGAGGATCGCGCCGCATCGGCGCTGGGGTGAGAGCCACATTTTGAAAACCGCCCGTCCTCCATCTGCAAAACTGTTGCCCATCTTTCTGTAAGTTTCACGATCATACACGGTGAGGAAGTCGCAGGCGCTGGCCCGCCCTTCCAACTGGCCTCGGGGTCGGCGGATCGCGCCGCATCGCCGATGCATGGGCGATGTATCGCCGTTGCATGGGTGCTACATCGGAGACCTTGGCGGTGCATCGGCGACGCCAGCGCAGAGAAAATCGGGCTCCGCATCGAGCCGCATCGGAGATGCATCGGCGATGCGGCAGAATCCTCCGACCCCGTCCATAGTCCGACCCCATCTGAGAGGTCTAAAGGAATTCCGAACAAATCGGACCATGTCTGTCACCAACAACCAGGACATGCTCGCGTCGTGAACAAAACCAGGACGGAGGGTTCTCGTTGTCGTCGGCCTCTGGGGGCCCTCAGCGGGCCCCGGGACCGTCAGAAAACGACTCCAAATGAAAAACAATTCCCAAATCGGGGGTCTACTGACCCGGGTCAATGCAAACCCGGGTCAGTCGGGCCTTGCAGGGTTTTGCAGCCTCATGCACCCAAGCCCCAAGCCAGCATGCAGGGTCCTGCAGCCAAACCAGGGTCAATGCGCCCTTGGATCTGCCGGACCCTGCAAGATCCGGCGATATGACTGACCCCCGTTCGCATTGACCCCCGACCAAGGAAAGAGTCGGGACTTCCGTGGACCGCGCATCGGACCATCTGTCATCACCAGCCAGAGCCCTGGAGAACGGGTCCGCTTCTCCGGGGCTTCGGCTGGGTCCCCGCCCCCGTCCCTCTCCGGGGGTCGTTGGGGCCCCTGAAGGGGCGGGGTGGGCGGTCCGGGCTCCCTGAAGAGGGACTTCGATAAACCAAGACTTTGGCGCGCCCACGAGGAGTGCAGTCGTGTGTCGAAGCCCTCTCCGGTATATTCGTCCTCCCCGTGGGCAACACTTAGAGCTCTGGCTTGCAATGCCCTGGTCTAGAAGGCTCTCATCCTCCTCCTCCCTCTCCTCTTTCTCCTCCTTCTCCTCCTCCTAGCGCCGGCTCAGCCAGGCCTACCGGGGCCGCGAGCCAGCGCCAGGGGCGCTTCCCGCGCCCCCTCCCCCACTCCTCCTCCGCCCCCCTCCCGCGCCGCCGCCCCGCGCGCTGCCATGGAGCGGACGCCGCCCTGGCGTGTCGCACGCCCTCGTCGCACGGCGGCTGAGCGGCGCGCCCAGGCCGCCCGCGCGCAGGTGCGGGCCGTGTAGGCCCTTCTGCGCGGCTTTGACGCGCTGCATCACCGTGGGTGTCGCCCCACGCTCTTGGGGGCTGCTCTCGCCCAGGTGCTGGGCGACCAGGCTGCGGTTCGTCGTCCAGGTCAAGGGCCTCCTGATGTGCGGCCTCCTGCTGACCTTGTTCCTCGGCTTCCGACTGGAGCTCGTCCTCCTGATGGGTGCGCTGTTGAAATTCCTCGTGGTCCGGGTGCTCCCATTCTTGCCCGTGCCGGCGCTCGGGACCCGTGGTCAACCGGTCCGGACCCGTGGTCCCAAGCACCTGTATGTCCCGCTCCTCGTGATGGTGCTCTTCGGCCAGCTGCGGTTGCAGAGGAGCCAGCTCAGCGTGATGTTCAGCGTGCCGCTTGTCCTGGCAAGGGCGGCGCGCCCGATGATGATGGTCGCATTGCTCTTCGTCGCGCTCGATTTGCTGTCGCTGGTGTTCCCCGTGTTGCTTTTCCTGGCAAGGGGAATGCGCCTGACGATGATGATCGAGCTTTTCGTCGCCAGCCTCCGCGGCCGCCTGTGGGCACAGCGGCTCCTGGCGGCTTCCTTGGCAAGGGCCAGGGCAAGGGCGAAGTCAAGGGCATCACGGCGGAGCCCTCCACCCCTTGCCTCCTCATATCATGTTTCCTTCCTCCCTCCCTCCGCCTCTCCCCCCCGTAGCTGTGGCGACAATATTGCTGGGGCGGTGGAGGTTTGGTGGATGGAGGAGATGTTGTGTGGGCAATGACATATTGGCCGCCTGCAGTCCGGGCAGGCTCTGGAACTGGCGACTGCCAGCGCGGAGTTAAGATGGGAGACCTTGCGTGGTGCTCTCTCGGAGGTTGAGCTTTCTGGCATGTTGGTGCGAAGGGGGCCCTGTGCCGCTGAGCGGCGCAGGGTCTCCGTCTAACCTTTGTTGCTGGATGGCTCAGCCTTGTCCCCCCGAAGTGTTCAATCCAATCCTCCTCCTCCTCCTCCTCCCGCTCTCCTCGCTCCTCCTCGCTCCTCCTCCTCGCTCCTCCTCCTCCTCCTCCTCCTCCTCCTCCTCCTCCTCCTCCTCCTTCTCCTCCCTCTTGACACCAGTTCCGCACCCCCGTGCCGGAGCCGAAAGGGCCCCAGAGCTGCGGGGCCGTGGTGCTCGGAGCCGCGCCGACGGTCTTTGGCCTCGGCGCTGCCCGGGTTGCTACAGCCTGCTGCGCTCTCTACAGTCGGGGCCTTGACCTAAGGAACCCTAAATAAGGAACGAGGCCCATTTTCTCCATAAGTTAACCTTCGAGTTCCGACCGAAAACATCAGGAAAACCTGAGGCAAGCTGCGAAACACTTAAGGAACGCGGAGCCCCTCCCCAACGAAAAGGGTTCCTTCTTCAGGGCCCCGACTGTATATATTCGGCACGCGCGGGGGCGAACTGACCCGACGTCCTGCAGAGGGTGGGCGAAGCCGGGAGAAGGGGATTCTAGGATTCTAGGTTGGCCTCGCGAGCGCCCCAAAAAGGGGCACGCGGTCCAGGCAGAACGAAAACAAGCAGCAACAGGCGGCAGCGGCGACGGCGGCGGCCGGGACAGCGACGGCGACGGCGACACGACAAACGACGTGACGCCCCGCAGAGGGAGGGGGAGAGAGGGAGGTAGGGAGGGAGGGCGGCCAATGGGCAGCCAACCAGGTGCTGAGTGGAATGCGTCGCGCCGTGAGCATGAGCCCAGCGCGCTCTCCAGCCACCGCTGCTGCACGTACCAGGCTGGCGCATGTGATCTGTGTGTGTGTGTGTGTGTGTGTGTGTGTGTGTGTGTGTGTGTGTGTGTGTGTGTGTGTGTGTGCGTGCGTGCGTGCGTGCGTGCGTGCGTGCGTGCGTGCGTGCGTGCGTGCGTGCGTGCGTGCGTGCGTGCGTGCGTGCGTGCGCGTGTGTGTGTGTGTGTGTGTGTCTGTGTGCACGGGCGTGGGTGACCTGTGCAAGATGAGTTCGTAGGTAGCGCCCAACAGTGAGACCATCGCTCGCGTAACCACATATGTTCGGCGACTGTGGTTGCAAGCGCCCGCCGAGTACGCGTAGCAGGCGAGGATAGCTGCTCAGCGCACGAATACGGGAATCATAGGGGAAAACAAACCTACCTCGCTTTTGACCACCCTCGCTTCCGAGAGATACCAAACGATGCCAAATTGCAGCCTGCACAGGTCAGGCCGCTTGACGAGGAGGCGCGTGGCATGGCTTGGTTTTGCCTGGAAGCGAAAGCGGGGTAGGTAATTCACGCTCTAGAATCAGGCGAGCAGCTGCAATCGCCGCTATGGGCGTGGCCGCATCTCCGTCTCAGCAGCAGCAGATCTTGGGCAGGGGAAGAGCGTCTTGGCATTCGCATATGCCTACCACGGTATGACCTTAGAGCGAACAAGGATCCGATACTACTGCAAGCAGAGTCCGTAGCACGTGAAACCGATGGATCAAGCCAAGACGGGTTCGGTGAGAAACGTCCTAAGAACGCTCCGTGCAGACCACGACGGGTCCCTGGAACATTCTTTCGTGGGCCCACGGGCTATCTAGGGCGCCTTGCCAATGCTTGAATCATGTTGCCCCCATCATACTTAAGGACCAAATCCGAGAAATTATTTCGAGCACCTGGCAGGAAGAGTTGAGCAGGGACCGACCGTCCCGGCATTCCTATAGACCTACCACGAAATGTTCTTAGAACCCAAACATGTTCTAATACCAAAAACACGGTTCTCAGAACATAAGCCCGATGTGATAAAACAAGACAGACGCCGCCAGAGAAGTTCCAAGAACATTTCGTGGAAACCACAAAAGGTTCTTAGAACATTGCCAGAGATCCGATGTCGTGATTTTTTCAATACTCGGTCCCCGGAAGTCTCGACCCATTCCCCAGGACCGGTTTTTCATCCTGAGTCGTTTTTTGACGCTCCCGAGGCCTGGCGAGGGCTCCCAGGGGCCGAAATCAGCGGAAAACCTCCGTCTTGATTCATTCCAGGCGTCGGATCTCTGGGTTGTCTGGTGGGGCTATAGGCGAGCCAGGACGCTTCGACACCGCTTGAAAGAGAGCGCCCGCGCGGACTGCGCCGGCCCGGGCACGGCGCGCGCCCGCGCGCGGGGGGCGCGCGCTCAGGCCCGGCCGCCGGCGCAGGACTCCTGAGCTCTCGTGCTCTCGCGGTGGCGGGCGGCAACGACGACGACGACGACGACGACGACGACGACGACGAGGTCGACGAGGTCGACAACGACGACGACGACGAGGACGACGAGGACGACGACGACTACGACGACGACTCCTGCTCCTCCTTCTCCTCCTCCTCCTCCCACTATCTCCCTCCTCTCTCCCCCCTCCGCATCCGCTCCTTCGCCACCTCCTCCTCCTCCGGGCAAGCCGGAGCGGGTCGGCTGGGGCAGCTGCGTACCCAGACCCCCTCGAGGAATGAACAAAATCATGGCGGGAGGTTTTTCCCCATTTTCGGCCTCCAGGGGCCTGCACCGGGCCTCGGGAGCGTCAAAAGACGTCTCAGGATGCAACGCCGGTCATGGGGAAAGGGTCGGGACCTCTGGGGGTCGACGCAATGAGAAAACATTACGTCGGGGGTCTGGGTATCGTGGTGGCAATGTTCGTCGGTCTTCTGCTATGGTTTCCTCGACCTTTGAGCGGTCGCGTCATGCTTCCGAGGCTCCCAGGAACAAGGCTCCGTCGGTTCTAACCCTGAGCTCCTATTCTCGCCCTCCCCCCTGTCGGCGAAACCTTATCGCCCCCTGAAAGTGAGATCCCGCGCCCAGGATTCCTGAGGAATCCCAAGGTTTCGCTGTCTCCCCCCACCAGAAAATCATTCACATATTCCAGGTGCCAGCCATGTCGCTCAGCGGTCCCCCCCCTGCGGAATCAATTCATTATCTCAGGTGCCAGGGACAACCGGGGGAAGATCGACAAGTGAGCGTTTTTTTTACTCTGCGTTTCGACAGTGGGCGGAAAGGGGAGGGGAGGGGGGGTCTGGCTCCGGATCTCTGCTGTGTGCGGCTGTTTGCGGCAGTGCGTCCTGCGGGGGAGGCTCCACATGTTCGAAACAGTCTTCCAAGACAGCCAAGATCTGCTCCAGGGTTGGGGGTTGCGAGGGTCCGCGCTGATCGGCAAAACAACGAATCAAAAAACGATCACTACTTGGAAATCAGGCTTATAAGTTTGCGTCGCTCCTGTTCGAAAAAGCCTCCCAAGACAGCCAAGATCTACTCCAGGGTGGGGGTTGCGAGGGCCCGCGCTGATCGGTAAAACAACGAATCAGAAAACGAAGACCACTTGGAACTCAGGCTTATAGGTTTGCGTCGCTCCGCGAGATGCGCTCCAGCTGCTGCACCTCGCCAGGAGCACTCCAGGGGTGCCCACAGGTCGTCCCGGACGGCCGTCGGAGGCAAATTATATGCCCCAGAGGCCGCTCGGCAAGTAGCGCCGGGGCGTGGACCTAAGGAACCCTCAATAAGGAACGAGGCCCCTTTGATCCCTAAGCTCGACTTCGACTCCCGATCGAAAACCCAGGGGCAACCTCGGGTAAGCTGCGACGGTGAGACAATCAGGGAACACCGAGCCCCTCCTCAACGAAGAGGGTTCCTTCTTCTGGGGGGAGGTAGGAGGAGGAGGAGGAGGAGGAGGAGGAGGAGGAGGAGGAGGAGGAGGAGGAGGAGCCCCTCCTCCTGTACGCGCAGTGGCGGCTGCTGCGTTGGGCTCTGACGCCGCGTGGGCTGTCCAGGGCTGAACGCTGGCGGCCCTCCGACAGCGCAGACCGTTCGGCGTCGGCCGAACTCCACCCCGGAGCGCCCTCGGCGGGGGTCGCTGTCTGGCCGAGTCGGCACGAGCCCACGGTGCGATGAGGGAGGGGGGCGCCAAGGACGATGTACCAGAAGGGGGCGGCGAGATGGGAGGGGAGCTGGAGGCGGAGCGTCAGCAAGAAGAGAGACGGGGAGAGAGGGAGAGGGAGGGAGAGAGAGAGAGAGAGAGCTCGACAGAGACAGAGAGAGAGAGAGAGAGAGAAACACAAAAAACGAGGAAGAAAGAGAGAGAGAGAGAGAGAAAGAGAGGAAGAGAGAAAAAAGAGAGAGAGAGAGAGAGCGCGGTGACGGGGAAGATGCAGCGGCAGGAACACATGCGACGCAAGGAGTAACAATTGGAGGACCACGAGCGAAAGGGAAACAAGCAGAGTACCATCTCGACTTGACACCTATTCGCTTGCCTCCGTAAGACCTGTTGGCGGGGAGAGGGGTATTATTATGTTCGCAGCGAGGGGTGGGGATGGGTGGGTGAGAGCGAGAAGATGCGGAGGGAGAGGGGGAGGATGTCGGGATGGGCGTGGGATTGAGAGTGGGGAAGGGATAAAGGAAATGAGAAGGGAAGAAGCAGGGAAAGGAGAGAGCGAGAGAGAAAGAGAGAGAGAGAGAGAAAGAGAGAGAGAGAGAGAGAGAGAGAGAAAGAGAGAGAGAGAGAAAGAGAGAGAGAGAGAGACAGTGGGAGTCCGCAAGATTGTGTCTGCCTCCTTCTCTTCGCGTGCGTCGTCGTCGTCGTCGTCGTCGTCGTCTCGTCGTCACCCTCCCCCTCTTTCTCGCTATTCTTGCGGTTCCTCCATGTCTTCTCGACTTGCTGCTACTACGTCTCTTCCTTCTCCTCCTCCTTCTCCTCATCCTCCGGCCCTAAAGTTCGCGTTTGAAGCCAGCTCCCGCTCCCGCCCATGCTGTGGCTCCTCCTGCTCCTCCTCCTGCTAGAAAAAACTGCGCCCGCCAACCGCGCAAAGGAATGCCGAATCCGCCGACCCCTGTGGAGCTTCCCAAGAAGTCCCCCAAGAGGCCCCTCAGAGCGCAAAGGCTCCCAAGAGAGCCCCAAGAAGGGCTCCAGAACGCCAGCGTCGTCGTCGTTGCCACCGCCGTCGTCCTCGTCCTCGTCTTCGTCCTCGTCTTCGTCGTCGTCCCGGCGGCACCGGTCGCAAAGCATTCCCAATAACTTGCTGAAGCCGCCAATCCTTTTGGGTCATCAGGCGCGCGAGATTGCTCGCCTGCGCTATTTCGCGAAAGCGGCCGCAAGCCCTGCGGCCCCACATGCCCCACCGCATACCATTTCTGTTTTCATCCGCTGGCTCCGGGCGGCGAATATTCATCACTGTTGGGTTCCCGCATGTTGGGGAGAGTTTTTTTGTTTCGCCCACCACTCGCCGACATTTGGCGAACCACTAGCCCCTGCAACTTGGCGGACCTTTGATGTCTCGCCCCCTACCGCAAACGCTGCGCTCGTTGCAATGTCGTCGCTGCAGTGCAATCGATGGGATTATCGTCCGAGTATGCTGGAACAGTCAAAGTACCATCGTTGCACTCGTACCCAAAGTATGTCTCAGTGGTTCCCTTCATCTTGAGCAGAATTGTCGAAGAGACAGCTTGCGAACGGTCGGGTCAACGAACGTGGGACCGATCGGTCGCTTCTCCTCGAAGGCAATTTTGTGTGGACTGTGGGCGACCTGAATCTTGGCGGAATCACTATGAGGCGCTCGGTGACAATGAAGATGACGTAGGACGGTGCTGTGCGGTTGCCCCCATCGTTGACAGCAAATTCGACGCCGTCCTTCTGTTACGCTTCGAAACGCAAGGCTGATGGCAGCCAGGGCGATGCCCGCCGCTCGTGTGTGTTCGAAATTGCTTGGCGCTCCTGGCTGCGCGCGAGACCAAACCTGCCTGGCAAGACAGAGAGCCTGCCGTCGATCTTGAGGTGACAGGCTGCGAACTGGCCTCCCCTCCCCGTCGCTCCCGGACCCGCTCCTCTCCCCTCCCCTCCTGGCTAACCGGTGCAAGTCGCCGCGGATGGCACAAAAATAAGGGCACCGAACTCTGTACACCGACGCTTCTTCCGGCCCTGCATTGGATCTTTGCACTGGGGAGCGGATCCTGGTGTACAGGGGACCCTGGTGTATCCATTATTCGTTGTTTCCCCGGGGCATCGGGGAAACACGTATACACCACGCCACCCCAGCGTCGTCCTCGACCCTCAAGAAGTCCTGGAACTGAAAAACAGCCCGCCACTGGTAATGTATATGTTCCAGTTTCCGAAAAAGAGCCTCAAGCCAGCCCAATGCTGCCCCCCCCCCCTGGTGACTCTCATAGGCAGCACACGCGGGCCCCAGCAAAGCTGGACGGGCGGCCCGTGCGGCCCTGTGACCAGCACACTGCCAAAGCTGCCCACAGGAAGGCCAGGAGCGCGCGAGAGGCCGCAAGGCGCGGACCAAGCGAGGCACTCGGGCGTCACCTGTGCTTCCGGGGCCTCCCGCCCTGGTGACGTCAAGACGGCCTCGGAGGACCCGGAGACGGGGCCCACGAGGGGCCGAAGAGAACCACACGGTGGCCCAGCACGGCTCCAGGACGCGAAGGTTCGGTGGCAACTCATGGGAGCCTCCCATAACATCTCGCCGGCGCCTGCAAATCGACGCTAATCGACGCTAGTCGACGCTAATCGACGCTAAATCGACGCTAAATCGACAGGAACAGACGCCAGATCGGCGCATTCCCATCGACTCCCAGACGCTAATCGACGCTAGTCGACGCCCGCTAAAGACGGAACGAAGAGGGTACGTCAGGTTCGTGTCGTGCCGACTTCTGCGTTGGTTTCTGACACCGCGGGGATCGTTCAACCTTGAACGATCGGCCGATTCCGAAACGTCCAAATCGTTCCACATCGAACGATTCTGGGTCGCCCGCGGCGTTCAAAGTTGAACGCCGCTGGCGGGGTCGCCGCCGGTCGACACAACACGAACCTACCGTACACACGGCTCCAGATGATGTGCTACCGAACCAAGGGGATCACCTCGGACTCGGCGAGGCCCCGGTAGGCCGGGCAGTCGCCCAGAGATGGACCACTGGGGGGGCCCAGCGAGCGGGCCCTATAAGAGCGGCGCACGCGATTCCAGGAGGAACAGAGAGCCCAAGATGAAGGGGCCCTGGGACACACAAATAAATACACGCAAATAACAGGAATCCCCATAATTTCCTACATTTTCTGGGTTTTTGTCTTCCCCCCCAATTCCCATAGTTTCCCCTATTTTCCTGGGAGGCGACGATTCATTGTGTCTGTGTGTTTTTTTCCCCTCCTGATAAGA